TAATTTATCCTAAGTTCGGGGGTTTCGTAATTTACCCCAAAAAGAAATCAAATTGATGCAGAATATCATCATTAACCAAAAAATCCACAAAAACACAAGACCAAATTTTCATCTTCTCCATCTTTCAAAACCAACAAAAATCTTCTCATTCGTCTTCCATAAACCCACAAAGCGTCCACATTCAAAACCATAAAAACACAACAGATCTTACAAAATGGACAAGTAAGGAATCAAAAACCATCAAAATAGAAGATTCTACAGCGGAAGAACCCGCTGAGACATGCATTTATGTGTTTTACAAGTGAGGTTATCGTTTATGAAAAAGAAAAACTCGCAAACACGACGACATTTACATGTCGATTTTTACCCCCAAAACTCGATATTATAAGATGTCGAATTTCGCAAAGTCTAAAAGCTAGACAATCACTCGTGGCACATATACCTAAATTAGTTAAACTTATTAAACGAGGCTTTATATGATTAATTGCTATTTCTCAAGCGGTAGCTGAACCAATTCAATGCCACATATCTTTCTTCCATTTTGTCCCCTAATAAAGAACCCCCATAAAATAATTCTAATAAAAAAAATGAAAATCAGTCACAGAATAATATAAAATATATTGCTTATTCATATGTATGATATTTAATTTCCACTATCTATTCATATATAACCACCTACCTAATCCCATTAAGTATTATAATAAATATATATATATATATATATATATATATATATATATATATATATATATATATATATATATATATATATATATATATATATATATATATATATATATATATATATATATATATATATATATATATATATATATACAGGCCCTCGTTTTTTCTGACATGGATGGACAAGGACGAGATTAATGTCTTGTCCCTAGCTAACAAAAAAATATGTGAAGATCATTTTTTTTTCTAAAAATAAAATAAATTGTTGCATAATTATTACTAATTAGTAGAGTGAATTTATTGAATTTTATAATTACTAATGACT